AAGGAAATTTGGAGCAGGCCTATTCCTCCTCGGGTTGGTTTTTTTTGTTGGGAAATTTTCCTGGAAAGAATCAACACTTTAGACTTACCTCAGAGAAAGAGACCCAACTATTGTCTACTTCCTAATAGATGTGCTCTTTGTAAAGCTGACGGGGAATCTGGCTACCACCTCATGGTCTCTTGTAAGGTTGCTAAAACTGTTTGGGAGTGGGTTTTCTCCCGTTTTGGGTGTTCTTGGTATCCTCCGAAGACTGTCCAAGGTTTGTTTTCTCCTTTTTTCAGTTGGCCTAAGAAGCGAGGGAAGACTATGTGGAGGTGTATTAGGGCAGCGGTATGCTGGTCTTTGTAGGAAAAAAGAAACTCACGCATTGGAAGATTTGTTAGATCGAATCCTTTTAAGAGTTGCCCACTGGCTAAAATCTTTGGAGTTGTTTTCAGATTTTCCTATGGATGACTTGCTAAGAAACTAGAAAGAGATTGCTTCCACTGCTAGATGCAAGAGGACTCTTTGTCCGTTTTGGTCCCCTCCCCCCTCGGGCTTTATAAAGCTGAATTTTGATGGCAGCAGTGTAAGGAATCCAGGGCCCTCTGGGATTGGAGTCTTCAGGAACGAGGAAGGGATTGTTACTGCTTTATTCTCTGGCCCTATTGGAGAAGGTGACTCTCTTAGGGCTGAGATCATTGCAGTGCTTGAAGGAATTCTAAGAGCAAAAGAATTAAATATTAGCCGCTTAATTCTGGAAGGTGATTTGAAGGTGGTGGTTAATTGGTTGAAGACAGAGGACAGTGGTTTGTGGAACTATAACAATGAAAAAAAAACAGTTCTTACGGCTGGGTAGGGATATTGAGATTCAGTACAGCTGGGTGAAGAGGAGTGCCAACTCATTTGCGGATGGGTTGGCCAAGCAAGGAGTGAATAGGGAGGCTGTTTTTTGGGCCAGTTTTTAATTTTTTCTTTGCATTCCCTGTGTTTTCTGTTTTTGGGGAGCTAAGTTATTTTATCTCCCCCTTTGTATACTTTTCCCTCTCTTCTCTTAATTTAATGAAGATATTGTTATTAATCCAAAAAAAAAGAATATATTTTTTATTTAAATCAAATCTGAATCCGAGATAACCAGGTCGGATGTCAGATCAGGCCTTGGATTTTCGAGTATCATTGACAGGCCTCTCTCTCTCTCTCTCTCTCTCTCATTACTGACTCTAACGACCCACCACTTACACACCACACCATTTCACCTACGTTACACACCTCAGCTCTATCCACTCCATAACTGACTCAAAAACCCATAACAACAAGACAAAGACCCGTTCTTCACTAACTCTACCTATTTATTTACAACAATTGGCCCTACTAATTGCCATGTGGCACCTTATCCTTGTATGACCCAACATGCCTAACATCTCCCTAATTCTTTGACACGTGCCAACTAATGGATACATAACACAGGGAAACCCTACCAATTCCTTACACTAGTAGAACAGACCTTTTTCATTTCAGCATGGTTATTGCATGGTTAGTGGAACATTCAATCATAACAGTGCTTTTAGAAACCTGTATAGCTAAATATAAACTGTATAAGCTTTTTCATTTCAGCATGGTTATTGCATGCTTCTCTGTTTTGTATGTGCAAATGCAGAGAAACCTGCAGAGAATCATATATGTGTCCTACTTATCAGATGGTTAAAGGTGGTCTGATAAGCTAACATTCAGTTTAGACATAATTTTACTTGGGATATTCCAGAGTTTTCAAACAAATATACACCAATAAAGCACATCAGAATTGGTGTGACTTCTTTTAGACACAGTAGGGACTAGGGAGGATTCATATGCCCATGTACTCCACATGGCTCACAAAACAGAGAAGGTGATCTCAGTGACCCCTGGCAGTCCTTAAAACACATGATTTAGTTTTCCAGCCTTCACTCACTCACTCCTCCCAAGTTCAAAATCAAAAGTGTCTCTAGCACTGTGCTTAGTGAGGATGAAGAGAGATTAATGTGCTTCTTGCCCACCCTCTTCAAATCCAAAGTTCCAAACCATTAAATTAGCACTCACAAATCACAATCCACCTTGGCTTTTGTTTTATGACCAGTTTCATCATGGCTGATGGCCCCTCAGTTGCACTTTATGATTTGAAGGTCAACTGGACTTTATGTATCATATATCCTACATCGGGTTGCACTTTATGATTTCAAGCTGAGAAGCTGATCTACAAACTGTTCAAGATAAACCCAATAACCACCAAACTTACACTAGCATGTGCATTTATGTATAAATCAAAATATCAATACATAATCTAGAATCAAACTTCCCAGATGCTATTCCTCTGCATTTTTACTGGCTTGTTTTGACAGCTCACAATATCCAATATTTCTGTATGTTATCTTTTTTATACTGGCCTGCTGGGAATCTCCTTAGGTAGACCATCACTAGTTGTCTTCATAGAATTTAGCTTGTCATCAATGGGAGTCAGACCTCTTTATGTATTTATCATAGGATTATTGTCTCTTCTTTTAAACAATTATGCCTCCTTCAAAAGAGAGTGCTAATGATGTCACAAGTGGAGCTGTTGATGGAGCTAATAAAAGTGATTTCAGCATCTGGTGACACATTGACCCACCACTTTGGCTTGTAGCTTGCTAGACAATACATCAAGTTTCCTTGGCTTTAGGTGACTAAAGGAGACCCACAAGTAACAATTGTTCATACAATGGAAAGGGGTACCATGTTTTACTGATTTAAAACTAGTGAAGGAAATGAATTTTGAGTTTCCAAAGGATGTTGAAAGGGCTATGTTTTAAATCCTTATTTTATACTACCAACCCAAAGAGGGGAATGAACTCTAAAATTATAATGTCTGTGCATGCTTAATAAAAGAGATCCATCAAAAGATTTTAGTAATAAATAAAGACTTGCCACTGGTTTTTAAAATGATTATGGGAGAGACCTTAAATAGGCAGTGATGCTCGACTGGCAGTAACAAGTTAATTATCACCTTTTTTTTATCAATAACAAGAAACTTTATTGAAGATATGAAACTATGTGAAGCTTAGGTACAAAGAGAGGTAAAAAGACTTAACTCCCCACCAAAGAAAACAAAGAAAAAATAAAAAATTAGCCCAAAAAGTCGAATCCCTATTCACCCCTTGCTTTGCTAACCTATCAGCAAAAGAATTAGCAGTCCTCTTCACCCAGTTGTAATGAACCACAATATCCCTACTCAGCCATTTAAATTTATTCTTCTCATTGTTATAACTCCATAAGCCGCTGTCTTCCCCCTTTAGCCACCTAATCACCACCTCCGAGTCACCTTCAAGGACCAAACATCTGATGTTCAACTCCCTTGCTCTTTGGATACCTTCTAAGGCTGCGAGGATCTCAGTCCTAAGAGAGTCTCCTTCCCCAATTGGGCCTGAGAACAAAGCAATAATAGCCCCCACCTCATTCCTAAATACTCACCCAATCCCAGAAGGCCCTGGGTTCCTTACACAGCTGCCATCAAAATTCAGTTTTATGAACCCAGAAGGAGGGGACCACAAAGGACTACAAGTCCTCTTACAGAGGGCAGAGGAAGTTATCTCCTTCCAATTTCTCACCATATCAGCCACAGAATAGTCTTAGAACATTTCCATAGTTTTCAACCAATGTGCCACCCTTAACAAAATTAGATCTAATAAGTTTCCAATGGTTCCTTCCTTATCTGAAAATATTCGTGAGTTTCTTTCTTCCTATAGAGACCAACACATTGCGGCCCTAATGCTTTCTCCACATAGTCTTCCCTCTCTATAGGAAGCTTTGGACACTCCCAGGGGTATCCAAACACACCCAAAAAGGGAAAAGACCCACTCCCAAACTGATTTCGCAACCGAACAATGGGTCTTTATGGTCTGTAAATTGTTTTTCTTGTTTGTTTCCATTTTTAAGGATAAGCTTTGCCTGTTTAGTTCACATAGGTATTTACAGTTAAGCCCAAACCCAGACCACATCAAGAGAAAATAAAATATGAGACTTCATACTTTCTGCCACTGGTGAGCAACTGAACAGAGCTTAACAGTGTTGATGTATCAGCTTTCTTTGTCTAATGCACATCCAACCACTCAAATGACATTCCTAAGCAATTTCTGGCATGAGTATTTCAAGCTTCTTCATAGCTCCACCCTAAACAGGTCTACAAGTTACAACCATAGTTGTCAAGGCGACGAATAGGTGGGCGCCTAGGTGACGCCTAGGCAATAAGGCACCCTTGGAGGCTCGCCTCACCCAATTACCAAGTAGTTTTGTGCATAATGTTATAAAATGCTTTTATATTTTTAATTTTTTGACGTTATAATTATAAAATAGGCATTATTAAACTAAAATACTCATTTTGTGTTTATGTACTAATTTCTTTTTATTATTTCCTTATTCGTTAGGGTTTAATCAACACAAACATTGCTAACTACTGTATTGAACCCATGGTTCAAAGTATCAATACACATCTATGTATCAGCAGAGGTGTATCAGTACTTATAACGATACTCCACCTATTTTTTATTTCTTTGGTTTTCAATTTCATTTATATATATATATATATATATTATTTTAAAAAATGGGTTCCCAAAAACATCTGTAAACATGTGTATTGGGGCGCCAAAGATACAATATAATACACCCGATATGGGGCGTATCGTATCAAAGTTTTGATCCTTGATTGAATCCTCAAAGATTTCAGAACCTGAACCAATAAGCAAGGGAAGAACTTAAAATTTTTGCCGAATCAACACATTTCTTTCTTACAAATCTTCTTCTTCTTCCACATTTTCTTTTCTTCTTTTCTTATAACAAAAGTAGGGGTTCAGCCCCTATATTTTTTGAATTTTCTTTCCTTCGTTCCTTTTCTTCTCATAAAATGTTGATTTTCTAAACTTAAAACATGAAATTTATACTTCTCTTATGAAATTATGGATAATTATTAAGGAAATATGGTTATGGAACAGAAGGAACCAAAGGATCCACCTCAATAACGGCAGTTGACAATCACCTATTAGATAGAGATAACATTCTCAAGGATCTCAAAATAAATTTGACATGGGCTCAACAACAAATGAAGGCCCAATATGATAAATATCACCGTCAGGTTGAATACAACATAGGTGATTTGGTTTGTTTGAAGCTTCTTCCTTATCGGCAAGCTTCACTAGGGCGAAAAAGCTGGCATAAGTTATCTCCAAGATACTATGGACCATTTCCCATCACTGAACGGGTTGGAGCAGTTGCATACAGATTATCTCTACCCCAATACTGTCGTCTCCACCCTGTTTTTCATGAATCAAAATTGAAAAAACATGTGGGTACTTCAACTAGCATTGCCCAACTCTACCAGAATTTGATGAAGATCGACACACCATTTTGCAACCAAAGCATATCCGGGGTTATCGCTAGATCAAACAGCATCAGCAACTGGTACAAGATGCTTTAGTCGAATGGCAAGGACTGCCTCCAGAGGATGCAACACGGGAGGCTGCTCAGTACTAAGGCAACAGCTTCCTCACCTCATCCTCAAGGACGAAGCTGTTTCAGAGGGGGAATGAACTGTTAGAAACCAAGACCAAGCCAGTAAACCAGTTATCAAACAAATGTACTTGAGGAAAAGAGCACATGGGTTAAAACCAGCTGTGCAAGAGACAAGTGGTAATCGTGTTAGGTCTCCTTTTCTGTAGCATGCCACAAGTGTTGTCTTACCAAGGAACACTTCCCAACAAAGAGCTTGTACTTTAGGAGGGACAGGTTTACACCAGATTTCCTTTACAAGGAGAGATTCCCCTCCACACTCCCCAGAATTTGAATGAACTAAAAGGTTAAAGAAGGAAGCACAAGAGAACAAACCATCAGAGGACGGGATCCAAACCCTAGCATCAAGCGTATTTTAGTCTAAGAAGCTAGTCTCTAGAGAAGAAAGCAAAGATATGAATGACTTACATTCATTGTCCTAAGGCCCCTCTCTTGAACCCCAGTTAGAGATGTAACACCAAACTTGGACAGTTGGAAGGGATAAAGTAATGGAAATTGATCACAAAGAAGCTCATCACCTACTCATAGGTCCTCCCAAAACAAAATTTCATTCCCACAACCCACATCCAATGATTTAAAAGGCACGCCTAGGGGCATAGGCGAGGCGCATTTTGGGGTATGCGCCTCGCCCAGGTCCTAGGCGCACCCCTTTCAAAGGCGTGCGCCTGATGTGCCTTGTGCGTCAGTCTAGGCGTGTGCCTTTTTAAATTTTTGCACTTTTTTGCTGTTTTTTGGGTCTGACGGCTGGGTCGGGAGCTCCGCCCCCGGACCCCTAACCACGCCCCTCGAGGCAAGCCCGAACAAGTCTATGTTAGGCAAGCTCCAAGAACCCCCTATTTGCTAATGTTGTTCATTCATTCATTGCAATAAAATATCTTCTTAAAAGGCAGTGAAAGTTATAAAATCATTATTTGTTATCTGAGAAATAAGAATTCCAGACCCTAACATAGACTTGTTTGGGCTTGCCTCGAGGGGCATGGTACAAAAGCGACTCATAAAATCAAGAATGCAATATGTTTTACATCACATTAGCTACTTGAAGCAATGCAATTAAGGAGAAAAAAGAGATTGTGGGTTTTACATGCTTGAAAATGCTTTATATGTTTGCTTTTATTTTTAAATTTTCATTTGAATACGCTTTACATGTTATGTTTATGTATTTTAATTTTAGATAATAGGTTTTTTAAAACATTTATTTTATAATTTAAGTTTATATCTTTTATTAACATTATGTTTAATTTTTTTTGAATTTTTTGCTTTTTTTTGGATTTTCTGACTTTTTTTATTTTTTAGTTTTTTTTTTGTAATTTTGCGCCTTTCTTAAAAAGGTTTGTGCCTCGCCTTGCGCCTCAAGTGCAAATTGGCCCTTGCGCCTTTTTTGTGCCTTGCGCTTTTAAAACACTGCCCATATCAAAATGGACAAAGCACAAGAAGGAAGGTAGTACCTCTATTATTGCTTTCCATGGGGCTTTTGAGTTTTGAAGATGTGTATAGGTCCAACTTTGCATCCTAGCCATTCTCCCCTGGTCCATGTATGCTTTAAATGACCCTATGCCACAGCCTATCTCCTACAAAAGGAAGCCTCCGTAGCCACTTCCCTAACAGAGTTGTATTCCTCTTGATCAAATTCCCAATTGCTACACTTCCCTGACAGAGTTGTATTCCTCTTGATTAAATTCCCAATTCCTAATCCACCCTACTCTTTAGATTTACATATATTTTCCCATTTTATCAAGTGATCTTTTCTTTCATCTCACAATTCCCACAAGAAATTCCTCATAATCTTTTCTAACTATCTAGCTACTTTGAATGGGATCCTAAAGGTAGGCAGGTAGTATATGGGCAGATTTGCTAATGTGGACTTAATTAATGTTATTCTTCCTCCCAACAAATGTAATTCCTTTTCCACATTACCACTTTTTTAAATTAGTGGGAAATTTATCAATGCGAAATTTGCCAGCTCTAGATATGAACATGAAAATATCAAGAAAAAAGAAAAGAGAAAGTAAAGAACTAACCCACCATGACCTTCTCCAAAACCAAACACAACACACACCAAACAACAACCATACCCCCATTAAATTGATCAAGACACAAAGAAACCCTACAAATAATTACGGAAAATATCAAAAACCTCCCACAGATTTATTCAGAAGCTCCTTTCTTCTGCAAAATTTCTTCACCTTCTTAGTAGGAAACATGTCGGAAATGTCATATGGAAATACGATAAATGTTATGATACCCGTCCCTTGTACTCCACACAGCACCAGTAATTTTCATTAAGAAATATGTCGATTCCAGTAATGTTTCATGTTGGTACCAATGGAAATAGAAATATGCCATGGAAATATCAGAAAATATATGGACATTTTAAACCATGGTTTCTGAACCGAAGCCTTTGGGGGTAAATCAGATAGCAAGTCCTTATGAGATAACTCTTTAAGGCATGATCAAATCATGCCAAAATCAAGGTGTTGGAAAGGATGGGAGATAAGATCCATAAAGAAGGAAATCCTATGCATGGCAACTGCAGAAATGGAAGGTTGTCAATTGAGTTGGATTCACATGTTACATCATAGCACATACCACATATATAAGGATGCTTTCATTTCTGCTTTTCTCAGTGTTTTGGTTGTTAGTAGTAGGGGCCCTGATTCTTCTCATTTCTCTTATCCATTTTGTATAATGTTATAACCCTTAACATAATTCTTTTTATCACATAAAGAACAAAACAGATGGATTGTTGGATACTAAAAAATGGAGATTGATAGCAGCATTTTCTTAAACAATAAGCCACATCGAACATAAAATTTTATGACAAGTTATTATAGCTCTACTGTATAGTTTTTAAGATGTTGTTTGTATGCTAGAGTTGAAGAGCCATGACCTTAAGGATTTGGCAAGGGTTTTAATGATGGTTGCCAACCTGACACAGCCTTCCTTCATCCGGGCTTGGGACCAGTGGTGTAACAATCAGACAGAATGTAATGGCAAAATAGGATTCATGTAGACAATTCCATACAGTTGGCAAAGGCTCAAATGAAGACAATGTTTGTAGAATAAGAATTTTTAAGTTTACCAAATAACAGTGATCAGTGTTTTACTTTACATGATAAAACTGTGTTAAATGAAAGCAACATTCTATAATATTTAGCTCCACTGTGACAACCAATATTATACAAAACTCATACCAGATATGTTAGTTCTAAAGATAACGGATTGCAAATATTCAAATCGTCACACTAAATCTTGCAATTAATTCAAAATACATACATTCATAACAATTCCAGGCTGATTAAAACTTTCAGAATCATAAATAGAAAATTTGCATTTAAATGTATTGTAATAAAACACTGGAACGTCACAATCCTTAGGAAGTACCCTTATCTATCCATAGAAAATGCAATTGGAAGTTATACAAGCATGAAAACTAAATTACCTATCACTAAAATGCAGCCCCATTAAACAGGTGTGGTTTCAGAGCTTCAATCCAGTGCTAATAACAGAATCAATACCCAAGGAGACTTGGATCCCCAATGTATTCTGCAATCTGCTCCAGGCGCACATTGAGTAGTGCATGAGTATCAGCATCTCGGATGACACCGGTTTCACTCTCCATGTCTCTCTCCACTAGGTTTCCAAAGACACCCTTGTGTTTCCCATACAGAACCAGAACTGGACCCCCACGCTTTGGAAGTGCGGTCTCCAAAATTTCCTGATCCACACACTGGATAAGTTCCCTGCTCTCATCCATGGATATATCACATGTTGTTGGTCCTACAACATCCACGACCTTCCCCTTTTTCAAGTAGAGCTTCCCACCTTTGAAATCTTTGCTAATTATTCTAACCCGGATATGACTCACCAACCAAGAAACTCGTGCTCCCGTTTCTTCTTCCCTGCGGCTACTTGATCGAGATGTTGTTCCATTGTCAATTTTCATTTCATCACCTCTCCTTCCCTCTTCTCTCTGTCTCTTATCCTTCCTCCTATAGTCCTTACTACCATCCCTCTTTTCTCTGTCATAACCATGGCTACCTGAAGTAGCTCTTCTCTCATCCCTGCTGCTTCTGTCATCCCTGGATTCTTGAATCTTCAACTCCGCCAACTTCTTCAAGCACTTCTTTTCTTCCGCTGAACCCAACTCTGCAACTTCATTAACCTTGATAGTGACCTCCTCTCTTCCATCCAACAGCTTCAAAACTATCTTTGACAAGTCAGAACTTGCAGAACCCAATTTCTCCACGACCTTCCCCTTCAGACCCATATGCCTACCACCGACAACCCTAACAACCATACCGACCGATACGTCATCCCTATCCTCCTTAGACGCAACCTTCTCATGCCTATCTGGCCTAGTTGTCGCAGCGTGGTCAAGCCCCGAATTACGCCCTTCCTGCTTCTTATCATGCATCTCCGGCTTAAACCCAAGTCCTTCCTTGGCAGTTCTCCTCTCATACTGCACGATCTTCACATCTTCCTTGGCGTTTCTTCCAATCCCTCTTCCTTCAACCCATCCATAACCAGCAAGTAAAGCAGCACCAAAACCCTCAACAGGAATAGTAGTGAACTCATCAAACCCCCGATCATCAGGCAGCCTCTTCATATCCTCCTTGAACTTTTGCAAAAGCAGATTCTCAGAGGACAAAGGTCGACTAGGTGCCTCGACAGCATCATTATCAGCCTTATCCCCAACGCCGTTGCCAACAGCATCGGCGTCGCCCTCCTTGTTCAGTCTGAGATTCAGGCCATAAGACATACCGGAATCGGGAATACCAACAGTGGAGGGAGCCTCTAGCTCGAAGCGGATGTCAGGGTCGGCGGCGGTGGAAGATTGAAACGGAAGATCGAGGTTTTTCATCTTCTTGGTGGGTCTCCATTCGTTCTGCTTTGGAGGGATTACGAGCTTTTCTGATTTGCCAGTTAGGGCTTTTGAAGCATCGAACTCCGTAACATATTCGAGCTTGGTGATCCCGGTATCGTCTCTCCTGTCTCCGTCGTTGAAATTCTCCGATGGCTTCTGAGTTGGTTTCCCAGATTGCTTCGAAGGTAGAGAGAACGAGAGTTTCATTTTGAGAGAGAGAGAGTCGGGAACGGTGGACTGACGACGAGACGACAATATCTCCGTCTGTCGGTCGGAAGCAGATAGAAACACCTGTTGTGAAGTGAATCCGTGTTCTTCCGGTGGTCAAAGTAATTATGCCATCACCACGCGATAAGATGCGCGTTCGACTAACGCGTCAATAGCAATTAGAAATTGGATTCAAACCCAAAATTTGATGCATCAGTTATAAGATGTTTTCGATGTACGGCCAAAATAGACCGTGAGGTTAGTGTGAGGCGCGCTCTGAAGAGCAGATCCGGACTCATTTTAAGGTCGATAATGGTCCCAGCCACTTGCAGCTGTGATTGGAATATCTCTCCTGAATAAAAATATAGAGATATTCCCTATACACGATTACAAGTGGCTGTGAGCACAGTATTGTAAGGATGGAGTCGGAGTTCGTCTATGCTCATGGATCATGCGTTTTCCGATCACAATTCCCCAAGGGACCACCCCACTACGCCCTATACATTCCCACCGTGTATTGAGAACATCTCCCGATGATAATATTAAAATCGATGATGTCATCATCTCCCAATGTTTTCAATACATAGTGGGGATGTGCTGTGGGGCGTTGTGGGGCATCCCCTTGTGGGGAAGAGATATGAACTCGTGCATTCTACTAACATGTCAATGGCAATTGGAAATTGGATTCAAGCTCAAAAATTGATTCACTGGTCTAAGGTGGATACTGGATTCAGTCCTCACACTGTGTTCACAATCACTTCAATAGCAAGTGGAGAATGGATTCAATAACTCATGGAGATCCGCTTCTGTCAAGGCAAGCCCGTGCCCACATTGTTCCAACTACCTTTTGCAGCTTCATATATATCTCTCCATAAAATAAAGCACATAAGCACAGAGATATTCTCAAGGTAAGGCTGTAAAGTTTGCTCAAACGAGCTTTGCCACAACCAAAGCCGAACTCATATTCAAGGCCAAAAATTGATGCATCAGGTCTAAGGTGGATATTGGATTCGGTCCTCACACAGTGCTCACAACCACTAGCAGTTGTGATTAGCTCAACTTCAGTTAGTGCAATGTCCTATTCAAACAACCTTTATAGCGTTGTATTGGGAATATCTCCGTACTTATGAGATTTATTTCATGGGAGATATTCTCAATGCATTGTTGCAAGAGACTATTCGAAACGGTGTGAGCATTATTAGCACCTAATTTTTGCTCGGTTTGCCTCCTGAACCTTTAATTTGCCCCAAACACTTGATCAGACCCACTCGACATTTCCAAAACATCCAAATACTCAAAAAGTCCAACTTTTACCCCAAGAACCCCCAGATCCACCACTAGACCTACCTAATACCTATCCAATGACCCTGACCGACCCCCACTTACAACTCAATCATTAGATCAGACACAACCATCAGACCCAAGACCTCCCGAAACACCTACCTATAAAATTTCAGTTCAAGATTCTCCCGTTTACTCCTTCATCAAGCGAAGATTCCATTCCAACACCTCTCGTTAGCCTAAGCACTCGGAACCCAGATACCATTAATCTTAACACATCCGAACCGATCAAACCACACCATTAAACTCCGAATACATCAAAAACACTTGCCCATGAAGTTTCAACCCCATATTTCCCCATTTAAACTTCCATTAAACCAATAATCCATTCTACAACATCCCATTAACCCAAATTTTTACGATCTCAGACCCCCCTGAACCGATCAAACACCATTAATAGACTCTAAACATACCAAAACACCTGCCCATAAAATTTCAACCCAAAATTACCCCCATTTACCCTCGATTGCACAAAGATTTCGTTTCAATACTCCACATTAACCAAATCGATCCCTCTCCAGATTTGCCCAATTCAGGCCTAGTTGAGCCAATATAACCCCACCAATCAACTCAGAATGCCTAAAAACTCCACCTTGTGAAATTTCTACCAAAAATACCCTTCCATGTAAAATGATTCCGTTTCGGCCAATCTCGTTAGCCCGCTCACACAAAACCCTTCTTAGCGGTCAGACCCATCTTAACCTTTCATTCTTTTTTTTAAAGAAATATCATTAATTAATTATTTCTAAAATTAATCTTGGGTGATCTGTAACTCTTTTGCCATGCATGAATTTGCCTTGCTAGGCTTAAAAAAGAAATAAAAATAGAATATATATATATATATATATATATATATATATATATATATATATATATTTTAACTACACACAAATTCCCCATTCTCTCTTTTCCACTTATAATATTCATTGAAACTTTATCGTTGTTTTGTTCAAAGAAAGCTTGTTTTCGATTTGTCCAAGTATCAATAAATAATCGTTAACTGGGTCGGCTTTCAAGTTGTGGGTTTAAAACATATAAAGATCAAACTGAGCTCTTTTGCAAAGGGCACTGTACACATTCAATTACCTCCTATACAATACACTGGATTTTCTTTTAGATTTACCATAATATCACCCATTTACCTCCGTCAGATTCCTCTTTCTTTCACCACCTTCCCACCCCTAAATCCAATCATCCTCCGGTGGAGCATGCAAAGTTGCAAGAGCAAAGAAATTTTTTTCATGTAAACCTTCTTGGATTGATAATGTTTTTGTTGATGTGCAAACCCAGAAGAAGCACCCCTTCATCACTAGGCATGCATGAAGACTCAAGTTGCCTTACATCTTACTTCAAAGATGTTGTAGTTCCACTTGTTACAATTGATGTTTCCATTTGGTATTTCCTATATACTTGTTTCGTTTCTCTTTAAATTAAGTATATGTTTGGTTCTGTGGGCGTTTATATATTTTGATGTTTTTATTACTTTAAATGTTTATTAGCGGGACCCGTGCGATGCATAGGAAAATCTGAATGGTTGAATAATTTTATTTATTATTAATTAATTGATAAATTAATAATCAACAATTTTTGTTAATTAATTAAAAGTATTCAAAGTTATTGATAATATTTAAAATTTTAATAATAGTATTTTTTATTTAATATTGATTTACAGAAAATAATTATTTTTAATTTATTATGAACAAATATTTTTAATAAATTTAATTTTATTAATCATTTGTAGTAATAATTTGTTGATTTCTTTATTTTTAAATAAAATTTTGATTGACTTTAAATAAATAAAAATAATTACAAAAGCTAACATTTGTATTAGTTTCACTAATAATTAACAATTATATAGGAATGGCAAGGGGGTGGGGCACACCATCCCTATCCCCACCTTGTAGTCAAGACATTCTACCCCATCCCCACCTTGTCCCTAGTGTCAAGTGGGTTCAGGGCAAGACACCCACTTCCCGTTTGGAATAGAGAATCCTTGAATTTCTTTGCCTCATCCTTTATGTTGTGAGAGTTTTGGGCAAGGCACACACTCCTCATCCAAGACTGGGAATCCTCAAAATTTCCCCACCCTATCCCTAGTGTCGAGTGGGATCAAGGCAATACACCTCCTCCCCATCCAATGTTTTTAAAAACCGTTGTCCCGTTTGACGGTTCAACCACCCACGTCAGTAGTTCCCTAACCAAGTCAATGGTTTTTGGCCAAAAAGCGGTTTTGGGGTGAAATAGAATCAGCCAACTGATCGGTTCCTAGTTTTCCAATATGATCATCCGGTTCGATCCCGTTTTGAAAACATCGTCCCCTCAACCCAATATTCAATTTGATGATAAAAATGATAAAAATGATTAAATTGAGTATCGGCCACATGGTAAATTTCTAAAAGTACACTACATTGTCTTTAATTTTCAAAAATGTAATTTTATGAAAATTTTGGAAATTTTATTACACTTGTGTAATTTTGAAAATTTATTCAAATTTATTTTTAAATTGTCATTAAATAATTTATTTTCTTTTAAAATGGTTTACTTATAGAATTACACTAATTTATCTTATATTTTCTAATATAAACTAATCAACAATTTCCATTTTCCAATATTATACTAATTTATCTTAATAATTTGTATAATTATTGGTTCAAATAATAGTTTTCCATTTCCCATAGTCATTTATCTTTAATAATTCTCAATAATTTACAATGAAAATTAAATAATTTTTCAATAGTTTTCCAAAATCTATCAAATGTAATAAATTTTTTTAAAATTTCCAAAACATTCCAATATTTTTCAATAATAATTTAATACATTTTAAATAAACTTTCAAAAATTTTATATCTTTTAATTTACAGAATGTTATTTTATGAAAATGTAGTTTTATGGAAATTTTTGAAAATTTTATTACATTTGTGTAATTATGTAAATTTATTGAAAACTATTTTAAATTGTTATTAAATATTTATTTTTTCTAGGTAGTTTACTAACAAAATTATACTAATTTATCTTTTATTTTAGAATATAAATTAATTAATAATTCCATTTTCCAACATTATAATATTTTATTCCCCTATCTACATTTGGTTATTAACTATAATAATAGCAATAACTAAAATTTTATACTTTTTAACAATTGTTAAATATAATTCTCAATTTTATAGAAATTAGTTAAAGAGTTCAAAATGTTATTAATTAACATGAATATAAAAGAATTTACCCTAAATAAATTAAAAATTCATGATGAGTTAATTAATAATAATATTTATTAATTTTTTATAATTTACCAATCGTATTTATTAACTATTTAATGGTGTCATGGCTTAATGAGAGTAGTGGGAAGGAGAGAGGAGAGAGAGTGAAAGAGAATGAAGGGTGGGGGTAATGAAGTAAGGAGAGGCATGTTGACGTTGACCGTCTTGCTATATATATAGATAGATAGCGGGGACCCGTGCAATGCATGAGCTTTGTTAAGCAAAAACAAAATTATAGAAATGCACAAAAGTACACAATTGACCAATCTCACCCACTACTTTTAATAATTTTTTTACAATACAACAACAACAATAATTAATTTCAAGTAGGGTTGTTCATGAAACTAAAGAAACTGACCAATTTGACACAATTCAACCTGAGTTGGTTGGTTTCTAATATTTCAGATTGGCCTTGGTTCAAGAATTTCCCAACCCAACCAGGTTGGATCAGTTTTGGTTTAGCCATTTGTAAACCGACCAAAATATTAATATTTGATATTTTAAATATATTTTTTAATAAGGAAAAGTGGGAAAACTCACATATTCCTTAGCCTAAAATATTTTATATCATAAATTTAATTTTTTT